AATAATTTAGTTACGCATAATGTAAAAATAAAACATGCAAAAGAGAAACGACATCACCAAAAATTGACGAAACGTGATTAATTCCAAATTAACGCTGCCGTCCTTTCTGCCTCTGTTTTCACCACCTTAGCCGCCCACAATTGGATTAACTCTGCCTGCCAATTTATATGTATATAATATATTATTTGCTGCCACTTCTCAAATCAAAGCTGCCTTGTGTTGTAAATTGAAAAGTCAGCCTTTTTCTTTCTCCCCTCCTGCCGGGTTTCTATTCGTGAATATATATGCAGATACACCACCAGCCGCCAATCAATTCTAGTTTGTTTGGACTTCCAAGTGAAATTGAAGTCCTAATTCAATTGCAAATACCGCCCATTGACTTTGTATTTCTCCAATTCATCTCATATTTAGAATTAATGCAATTTAGTCATTCAATTTCTATAGTGTAGACTTTAATCTCCAAATTTGTAGATTTCATTCAATGTCGGTATTTTTGTTTTCCAATTGCTTCGAACGAGTCCATAACTAAACACAAAAGAAAAATAACCCAAGTTAAGTAGAAATTAATAATTTAANAAAACAAAAGAAAAATAACCCAAGTGAAGTAAAAATTAATGATTTGACGATATAAAAGTTTAGTAATTTGATCCAAATAAAAGCACAAATTGCACTTATCACTTAAGATTAATGAAAGATTTTTGGTTGGAAAAATTTTACTACTTAGTTTAGGTATCAGGAGGTATCACATGATTAAGAAGTGGGAATGTTATGCCAGATTCATAATTTTAGAAAGTTTATTCTTGTAGAGACGAAATTAATAAATATTGTAAGTCATCGAGAGTTGTGGAATACAGTTATATCGTATGTACATTGTAAAAGAAATGCAAGTTACTTGTGAGCATGATACAATTATTTGCCCAATTGCCCTTACTGTTTTTTTTTTTTTTTCTTTTTCTGCAGTGGGCGATACGACTTCACATTACAGGCACAAACCTATTATTTGTTTTGGGCATATAGAGCACACTAGCCTGAGGGAGAGTCTGACAAGTCAGAACACAATATTAATGTCAAGTTTGATAATGACCATTTTGGACCTATATTACTAGAATTTAGGTATACTATGAGCTCAAAGGCTTCAGCATTTTGCCACCATGGAGAGGTCTATTGATGCATGAATTGGAAAGTTGGACTACTGTGGGCAAATGTGCACCTGTGTTTTTAATCAAAAGATTTGATTTTGTTACTGTTATTATTGCAGGAACAGATGATGATCTTTCTCCACACACCAAAATAGAATTCAAAGAGGTGGCAGCATTGTGGGGAATGGAAGGACTGCTGTTAGGAATTCTGTTCCACATCCTAGAATGTATGGTGAAAACTGATATGGAAGACCAAATTCACCAGCTTGAACAAGAAGCATACAGTTCAGTTCTAAGATCCTTTATAGCCCAAGCTGATGCAAGTACCTGGGTACCTTTTGTCATATTGAACACGTGAATCTAATATTGGCATATTTGTTTGATCAGGTTTAAATGACTGATCAATGAAATCTATTTTCTTCAGGAGAAAGAAAGTTTAATAGCTGACCTTGGGAAAGAGTTGTGACTGTCAAATGAAGAACACGGGGAGCTCCTTCCCAGGGTTAATGCCGATGATGTAATCCAAAGCTATGATGCTCAGACTCTTCGAAATAGTTGGAGTACCCATGTCGGATACGACACGACATGGGTATGGGTATGGAAT